CCAATAGTAGATGTGGAACTTTCCTGAGATTGTACACATAGATTGCCTTAGCATCTTCTAGCAGAATATACTCCTGCATTAATTTGCCTATGATGCTGAATAACTTTGGAAATTCTTATCAAAATTTTCTTTTATTCTCATCCTGGAGTATTCTGTTTATGACACCAAGCCAAATACATGTATTAAATTTAACAGTAAAGATTTCTGATACTCTACATACTGAAGTATCTAACTGACTTCCCAGCCTTTGTGTGAGTTTTGTAATGAATTGACGTGGAGATTTGCATCCCTTTCACAATGTAGTTTCATGTCCACAGATTAAAATTTCACATTCATTAGCCACCTCGAACTGTCAGCAAGGATAGAAACAGGCATTCCTGTGTTGAGTTTAAAGTCTGTTTTGAACCATTGTACCTTCAAGTTTTGGTGCAGAGTTTCAGTTGATTCTTTTTGACCTTGCCTTGGAGTATCAGAGTGAATTTTACCAAAAATTCGCCAGGTGTCAATTTTGTCAAGTTTCATCGAGGGTTTCTCTCCGTGAGGCCTAGCAAGATTTTTCACATTATTCTCTGCATTTCCTATGCACCACTCCTCCATGATGTCTCACCCTTCCCTGCCACCAGAGACAGAAATATTCCCCACAGTTGTGAAATCTGGGTGATTCCCAGTAGCACCAAATTTAAAACCTAGCTGTCTACCTGGTCAAGAATTACAAGATTTGCCCTTCACTATGCAAATAGTGTGACAGAAACAAAAATAAAGACTTCTGAGGACACATAGGGAACACGACTGACACTTTATTGCAAGTGCAAGTTTTTTTTTATTCATAGGATGAGGGCATCACTAGCTGGGCCAGCATTTATTTCCCATCCCAAATTGCTCAGAGGACAGCTAAGAGTTAACCACATTGCTGTGGGTCTGGAGTCACATGCAAAGATGGAAGTTCCTTTCCCTAAGGACATTAGTGAACTAGACTGTTTTTTCCTGAAAATTGACCATGGATTCATGATCATCATTAGACTCATAATTCCAGATTTGTCTTTTATTGAATTCAAATTCCACCATCTTCTGTGGGTGGGCTTCAAACCCGGGTGCCCCAGAACATTACCCGAGTCTCTGCAACTTAAAGTTTGCTCATGGGATATGATCATCACTGGCTGTGCCAGCATTTATTCCCTAGTTATCTTGGAGAAGATAGTGGTCAGCTGCTTTCTCGAACTGATGCAATCCACTTATTGTAAGTTAATCCAATATGCCACTAGAAGGAAGTTCCAGGATTTTGACCCAGCGAGTAACCAATTTGCTTTTCATTAACACAATAACATCAGTAAAACTGTACTCTAAATTATACTTTTTTAAAAAAAAAATCACATGACCAGTAAATTCATAGCTTCTCTGTGAATTGATTCCTGCTGCTACAGGGGTTAGAATTTTAAAGTGTGTTACAAATGGATAAATAAATCATTCTGAATATGAATTTTGAATTAAAGATAAAAAAAATGTCAAATCAAAATTTAAATTCTCAATTACCTCCTTATTATAATAAGAGCATTCTGCTCTCCTTACTAGGTAGTAAAGATGTTGCTAAATTTGAAAGGATTCAGAAAAGATTTACAAGGACGTTGTCAGGGCTGGAGGTTTTGAGCTATAGGGACAGGTTGAATAGGCTGGGGCTATTTTCCCTGGAGATTGGAGGCTGAGGGGTGACCTTATAGAAGTTTATAAAATCATGAGGGGCACAGATAGGGTAAAAAGACAAGGTCTTTTCCCCAAGGTCAGGGAGTCTAAAACTAGAGGCCATAGGTTTAAAGTGAGAGAGGAAGGATTTAAAAGGGACCTAAGGGTCAACTTTTTCATGCAGAGGGTAGTGCATGTATGGAATGAGCTGCCAGAGGAAGTGGTGGAGGCTGGTACAATTACAACATTTAAAAGGCATCTGGATGGGTATACGAGTAGGAAGGGGTTAAGAGGGATATGGGCCAAATGCTGGCAAATGGGATCAGATTTATTTAGGATATCTGGTTGGCATGGACAGGTTGAACTGAAGGGTCTGTTTCCGTGCTCTACAACTCTATGGCTGAGAGTTTGATGGTGCTTGAAAGAATATTGTAACCTACACTTGGATAAGAACATGCATTTCAGCTGCTGTACATCCGTAACACAACCATAGCAGACATCTCTATTCCAATGGCTGCCAAATCTTGGTGAGAATTTTTGACATAAGGTAATAGGTAGCTCATTTACTTTTAGGAATTGATTCAATCACCGTCCTCTGACTTTTCTTATTTCGTATCCCTTCAGTATCTGAATTCTGATAAGTTTTTGTTAACTGCAAAATCCGATTGTATCCAAGTTATTATATTGCATTAGTTGCCTCACACTGATTTACTTGTACTACGAAAAAGACCATTGAGCTTTGAGAAGCTTTCAGTTCTAGTGCTTTTCTAGCACTTCCTACCTAGTTTACGTAATCTCTATTGTATTTGTGCCTCCTGCATTATCTGTCATCTATTCTTCTGTTTTATTGGTGTGGGCAATTACAATTTAGTCATTGATGAGGAGAATGCCTGTTGAATTTCAGGGCCTCTGTCCCACAGTTAAGCAACTGTCATTTATGTTTTCTAATTGCCAATAAAACATAATTAAAATAATTAGTTGGCTTCGAAATTGCAGTTTTGTTTTATTGAAAACTGAACTCACATGAACAGGAAGAAGTGCATGCACATGTACCTTTTTCCTTTGTTCTCATCCCCCTCACTCTGAACGGAGTTTCTCTCTCCTTCAGCTTAATAATGTTCTAAAGTTTACCAGGCACAAAATATGAACTGTAGCAGGTATATCATCAATTAGGTCTTATTTTCCTTTGCTCTCTCACACATATTAAAAGCCACATACAGTGTGACAGATTTTCAACTTGCTGGCCAGGCATAAAACTGGCTTTGAAATGAAAATTGGGTGAATTTTTTCATTTGACCTCCAGCACCAAGGTAGCAAGTAGAAAATGCACTCTGAGTATAAAAGAAGTAAATGGAACCAGGGAGATATGGTCCCACCAGCTCCTTGTACAGTTTCAGTAAGACTTTCCCACTCTTACACTCCAACTCCCTTGAAAAAAGGGCCAATATTTTATTAGCCTTCCTGATTAGCCACTGCATCTGTATGTTAGCTTTGTGTGTTACATGTACAAGTACCCCCAAGTCCCTTTGTGTTGCAGCTACAGGTTTCTCCATGTAAAAAACACTGTTCTTTTGTTCTCCTTTCCAAGATGAACAACTTCATATTTTCCCACATTACACTCCATTTGCCAACTTTTTGCCCACTCACTTAAACCTATTAAAATTTCTCTGTAAACTGTGTGTCCCTTTCACTGTTTACCTTTCCAAATTTTTTGTGTTGTCTGCAAATTTAGCTGCAGTACATTCGCTTCCTTCCTCCAAGTTACTAACATATATTGCAAATAGTTGTGATCCCAGTACTGGAACCCCACTGGTTACAGGTCGTCAACCTGAAAAAGAACCCCTAAATGTTCTGCTATTACTTCCTTATGCCAATATGCCACTTCCAACATCACGACTCCTATGCTATTAAGTAGCCTAAAGTGTGGTACTTCATCAAAAACTTTTTGAAAATCCATATACATTAAATCCACCATCTGTCATGTGTTACCTTCTCAAAGAATTCTAGCAATTTTAAGTCATGATTTCCCTCCATCAAGCCATGTTGATTCTGCTGAATCACTTTATGCATTTATAAATGCTCTGCTATTACATCCTTTAGAATAGACTCTAACATTTTTCCAATAACAGACGTCAAGCTAATTGGCCTATCGATACCTGATTTTTGTCTCATTCCCTTTTCAAATTAAGGTTTGCATTGGTAGTTGTTCAAATCTCAGAGATTTTTCCAGAATCTATTGATTTCTGAAAGATTAATACTAGTGCATCCACTACCTCTGTAGCTACTTGGATGTATCCCATCAGGTATGGGGACTTATCATTTCTCAGCCACATTGGTTTCCTTAGCACTTTTTTTCTAATGATGGTTATTGTATTTATTTCCTTTCCTCCTTTTGCCTCTTGATTACTTATTGATTTTGGATTGATATTAATCTCGTCTACTGTGAAGATTGATTTGAAGTATTTATTCTATTTTCTGCTATTTCCTAGTTCTGCATTGTTATCCCAGCATGACTCTCTAAGGGGCCTACATTCACTTTGGCTTCTCCCTTCCTTTCTATACGTTAAAGAAGCTCTTGCTGTGCATTTTGATATTACTTTTGCCCACTCACTTAGCCTATCATTATCTCCCTGTAAACTGTATGTCCTTTTGTATCCTGCCTTCGCATGCTTTTTGTCTTGTCTGCAAATTTAGCTGCAGTACATTCCTCCAAGTTATTAATATATATTGCAAATAGTTGTGATTCCTGCACTAGAACCCCACTGGTTACAGGTTATCAACCTGAAAAAGAACCCCTAAGTGTTATGCTATTACATCCTTATGCCAATATGCTACCTCCAACATCATGGCTCCTAGGCTATTTAATAGCCTAAAGTGTGGTACCTCATCAAGAGCTTTTTGAAAATCCATATATATGAAATCCACTGCTCTCCTCAATGCTTATTTTCTTCCTCTTTATTACATTTTTGGTTGTCTTTTGTTGGTTTTTAAAATATTACCATTCTTCTGGCTTACCATTAATCTTTGGCACACTAGGTTTTTCTTTTTGAGGCTATCGTCAACTTCCCTGGTTAACCATAGTTGGCCAATCCCCTTCCTAAAATCCTTCTTCCTCACTATATATCTTTGTTGTGAAGCCTGTGTTATTTTGCTGCAAAGATACTTTTCCAGTGCACTCCAGCCCATTCTTTCTATTGGTTGGTTGCTCCAATCAGCTTTTCATAGACTGGGAAGGGAAACAGAGACATACAACCCTAAGACTGGGGAAAGGGAAGACCATAGGCATTCCAACATCCACTGTTAGAAGTGATTTTACCTCTTTGTGGTTTTATAAACAAATTAGTTTATTTGTGCTACAAAATGAAGACAAGCACATTCCTGTACATGTGCAGTTAAAGTGTCAGTTTCAGTGAATCAGTCTGGGACTTGAATACTTAGAACTAGACAGACATTTAAATTTTGTGATGCAAACTGATGCACAGGAAGTATTTTTGCATCAGTTACGCATGCAATGACAGCTGCAGTACAAGTTTAATATGCATGCACAACCAGTCCAAAATCCTTTCCAGTCAGTGGCAGAAGTTACAGTAGCCCTGCCAAAACAACACAACCAGGATCATTGCAGCTTGCTCCATACTCTATCTATTGTGACTAAGAAAGGCTTCCTGTTCTGGAATTTGAAGGCAATGTTAATGGAGATGAGATGAAGGTTCATTCTCTTGACAACAGGAGGTGGATGCACAGGAAGATCAGGATGTTGAATAGAATGGCTAGAATAAAGAGAAAATAACATCAGTTTCCATTTAGAGTTAATCCCTCATATAATTACAAACCTACCTGCTCTCACTCCTCACAAACTTCTTTACTGTGATTTCTATGTCCTTCATAAGACAGAAGATTACATTTCCCTGCCATTATCCAGGTCATGAATGCCAGTGGGTATAGAAAAATCATTGAACACTGCGGTCAAACAGTGTTCAACTTGAATGGAAACATTTAGCCAAATGTGCCAAAAACTAACAATAATGGTGTTTTAACACCATTGTTGAATATTTAACGTTGACAGGGACAAGCGGTAGAGGACAGACTATTGGTCAAAAACCAAAAGAACTGCAGATGCTGTAAATCAGAAACAGAAGCAGAAGTTGCTAGAAAAGCTCAGCAGGTCTGGCAGCATCTGTGAATAGAAATCAGAGTTAGCGTTTTGGGTTCGGTGACCCTTCCTCAGTTCTGAGCTTTTTCAGCAACTTCTGTTTTTGTTTCTGATTTACAGCATCTGCAGTTTTTTCGGTTTTTGTTCAGTATTAACTCACTGCCCTACCTCTTCTCAGCATGCCAACCTTGAAGAAGTTCTGCTCCTCTCTCCGACAGGATTTCCATTCTAACCTTTTTTCTTGTCCACAAAGTACTGGTTGTATGTTCTGCCAGACTTTATTCTTGTTGAAGTAAATGAAATAGAAAATCAGACTGGATGCACAATTAGATGGCCAATTTTTTGCCATCTATTTTATTCTTTGATTGAAATTGATAGTTGCTCCCTGGTTTTCCTTTTTTGCCAGCTATATGACTTACTTTAGATTCTAATGAAGTGCTCCCTGAGCAAGCAGAAGTTGAAAAATGAGTGACTGGGAAAATTCCCCTTGGGTCTTAGAGATCGTGAAGTTCAGTGAACCTGTTGACAAGGGGTACTCACCTTTAGCAACTTTTCTCTTATAATGAGGACCTTCTCAAGCAAGTATTGAGGGGACCTCAATAAAGCAGGCATTATGCCACTTCCTGGAGCAACAAACTTATTGGCACCTATTTGTCGCAGCCTCCTGGTGCTGGAAACCTGCAGAAAGGCATAAGTTTGAGTCAGGTCTTAGAATCCCAATGCAGGTGTTCTAACAAGAATCTCCATTGTAGCATTGTTAGCTGCCATTCCAGAAGCCAATATTGTCCTTAAAGACAGCAAGTATACGGATCGTGCGAAAAGCCCTCAAGCTGTCATTATCACCGCAATTTTCAGTTTTTGTACAGTACCTTTAACAGACCCCAAGATCTTATACAGATTTGTCATCTGCCAAAATTAACACTGAATCACATAAGGTGATATTAGATTAGCTGATTGAAAGGCTTGGTCAAAGAAGTAGATTTTACTGAGTGTTTTAAGGGTGCAAAATAAAGTATAAAGGAAAATGATTAGGATACGAGAAGTGTAGGACTGAGTTACAAAAACAGAAAGTGGTAAAGCCATAAAGGAAACTATAACAAGAATGAATAAAGGGGAGGTGACAGCCTAGTGGTATTATTGCTAGACTGTTAATGCAGAGCCCCAGGAAATGTTCTGGGGACCTGGTTTGAATCTTGCCATGGCAGATGGTCAAATTTGACTTCAATAAAAACCTGGAATTAACAGTCTAATGATGACCACAAATCAATTCATGGAAAAACCCATCTGGTTTATTAATGTCCTTTAGGGAAGGAAATCTTCCATCCTTAGCTGGCCTGACCTACATGTGACTCCAGATCCACAGCAATGTGATTGAAACTGGGTATGGGTAATAAATGTTGGCCTAGCCAGAAATCCCCTCATCCTGTGAATGAATAAAAAAATGATGAGTCATTACTTAAATGGGAGACAATGAAGGTGAGCGAGTGGAACTTACCCAGTAGCAGTGAAATAACATCATATATTGACTCAAAATTTCTCCAACTCTCTTCATCTGTATTGGTCTTGAGGATATTTATTCCTTATGTTTCCTTCCTTGCCAATTTTATGAATGATTGTATTATTGAGTGGTAGCAACCTCCCTATGTAAGTACCCTCTTTGAACTACAATATACATGGGATCAAAACAATATAGCTCTTACGTTCATCAGGCTTTACCTTCAACTTATGCTTTCTGCCTTTTATTTTTCCCAGGGTTCCCTTACCACAGACTCCTACACCACCTGAGTCTTCGCTCAACCTTCTTTCACATACACTAACTATCCTAAACATTACGATTTCACCTACTGGTTTAAACACTGGAGTTCACGCATCATACAAACGCTCAAGCTGGGGTATCTGTAAGTCATCTGATGGGCCCTTTCACTCAGTCTGCTGTTACTCCTCCCAGAGTCCATATTTTCATTTCTGTAACATTTTGACATAATGGCCAATCACACTTTTTATTTTGATTGTAATTCTTTTTACATCCCTTTCACAAATACTACTTTCAATATTTTAAAGTCAACTTCACTATGGATTTTGTGTTCCTGTCTCATCGTTTAAACAATGTTTTCATGTTCTTACAAGCCACACTAATCCTTTCGTTAAATAGGTGTAATGTCCGAGACTTGTTCTTCAGTGCATGTTTTTGTACTGTCTCTTGTTTGTTACCTCCGAGATAACATTCACTTTTTCACACTTACATTACTATTCCAAGACCATGTCATGCATTCTTAACTCACATATGATTTATCAAATAATCTGAGGTTTTGCTTGTCTCTCCACATATAGTCCCAATGCCTCGGGTAGTGGCTTGATCACCAATTCAAACTTTATTAAAAAGAAAGACAAGGACACAAACATCACCAAGGGAAAGCTGTCAGTTTGGTGTTCTCATCTAAGGATCCTTTTGACTAAAATGCATTTTAACCTCGATTTGCCATTTCCACCCCAGTTATTCTAATTTTTTTGCCTTCTGCCAGCAGTCTCCACCCTTAATTACGTCATCTTGTCCAATTTTGCAATTTAACTATTACCACCATATCTAATTCCAGAGATCTGTAGAGATTTGTAGTCCATGGAACATGATCTTATAATATTTTAAAACAGAAGTCAAACATTTCTGTTTGATTCAGGCATAACATACTTTGTTCTTTCTCTCAGACAATGCATTTTTTTTAAAGTTACTTCATAACTCATTCTAGATATTTGTCATATTTCTATGTAAATTTGTCCAAATTCAAAATTGTGCTTACTCCCTTAAAGTCACCATCCATTTTCTAAATGCATTGAAACCATGAGACTGCGTGCATGCACTTTATCATTTCCCAGAAACCTTTTAAATTTTCAGGTAACTATTCCATTTAAATGTTTTAGAATACCAGGTCACATGAGTTTTAATATAGTTTTTGCCATGATATGCTTAAGCATACCCAGGCTCAGTAGTTTCAAGATTCCTGATACTCAGTACAATTAACATTTCCACAGTACTTGCCCAACACTGAAATGTGTTATTGATGAAGGGTTTAGGGTGCCTCATCCATCATTTTGTTGCGATGTTGAAATTCTGTAAACGGATTCAGCCTTCAGTGTCTCCAATTTCCAAAAAAAAAACAAACAAGCTCCATTCCACATCAAGCAGAATGGGTTAATTCGTATTAATCTACGGATTCACAAAAAGGGGGTGGGGTGTAAACTCCTGCACATAATTATGTCGTCTCTCCTCCTCCCTGAAGGAAGGAAAAGCCCACCCCTTTGTTAAGTTTGCCTTTCTGAAACTCTTCACACACAGGGAGTTGCAATTTCAACATTCCAATGACCCTATCACTTGGATATTAACAATGAATCAATCTTATCATCAGGAAGTAAAGGTTCACTCGTGTTAAAACAGTATTTGGAAGTTCACTCTGCCAGAAAGTGATATGAAAATGAACATAGTAATTTCTAGGATTGAATTCTACCCATGTCCATAAACAACACGGAACCAATTCCAAAACCACTGATGGTTTCTTAAAAGGTCATCACATTAACAATACATGTCCCGCACTGATACAGGCACACAGCACACTTTGAAAGCACCATACATACCCAAAATGCAAACTAAAACTTCAAAGTATCCCCAGATCTCGAGCTCCAGAGAACAAAAAGACACAAATTATACAAGTCAACGTTTCACAACCAACAAACAAAGGTGCATTCAAACCAAACCACAAAGAGTTAACACTTCTACAAGGTTCAGTGCACTTGCACAGCACGGAAACCTGGCCTCCAGTTCTCTCTTCCTCCAGTTATAACTGTCCCACATCCTTTCGGGGGTCCTAATTGTGCTAACATATTAGTTACAGACTTGAATCCAGAGTCTGCAGCATTCCACCCTGGAATACAGAAGGTCTCCGGAGCATCAGGTTGCTTTTTCCTTCTCTTAAATATTTTCCCGAATCCCATCCTCGTTGCCAAAAATGTCTTGGATCACAGAATGTATCCAAGCGGTTCTTTTCAAATACGGTTAAATGTAGTCAAGAGAAGCCTCGACAACAGCAATTTGCTTAAATAAGAACATTTACTCAGTAATAATAAAAGACAAAAAAGAAAGGAATATTCATTAAGTAAATAAAAAGAATGAAAAAGAGTGGAAGAAAACAATAAGCCTCATGCCCTTCTGCCTGTCAGGAACCCCTCGATAGATGGCTGGTCTGGAGGTTGAGGTTGTTTCCTGGCACCGTTTGTGATCCTGGTCCAGAGTGAAGTCCAGCCACTTGGATAAAAAAAAAAATTGTCTCTTATACAGTGTAACAAACAGCAAGGCACAGAAAATAACTACAGAAAAAGGTGTTGATTGTGCTGGCTTCGGCGTTACAGAAATGTTCACAGGGCTCATTCAATGGCATGCAGCTGTTGAATATCATCAACAAGTTTCAGCCCATCTCTTTGCATCTTGATAGAAATTGTCCCGTTGGGCAGACGCAGCATGGGTTCATGAGGGGCAGGTCATGCTTGACAAATCTTATGGAATTCTATGAAGACATTACGAGTGAGGTGGACAATGGGGACCCAGTGGATGTGGTGTACCTAGATTTCCAAAAGGCCTTCGAGAAGGTGCCGCACAAGAGGCTACTGCATAAGATAAGGATGCATGGCATTAAGGGTAAAGTATTAGCATGGAGAGAGGATTGGTTGACTAACAGGAAGCAAAGAGTGGGGATAAATGAGTGCTATTCTAGCTGGCAGTCAGCGACTAGTGGTGTGCCTCAGGGATCGGTGTTGGGACCGCAATTATTTACTATTTATATCGATGATTTGGAGTTGGGGACCACGTGTAGGGTGTCAAAGTTTGCAGATGACACTAAGATGAGTGGCAAAGCAAAGTGTGCAGAGGACTGTGAAACTTTGCAGAGGAACATAGATACATTGAGTGAGTGGGCAAAGGTCTGGCAGATGGAATACAATGTAAATAAATGTGAAGTCATACATTTTGGTAGGAGTAATAGTAAAAAGGATTATTACTTGAATGGTAAAAAGTTGCAGCATGCTGCTATGCAAAGGGACCTGGGTGTCCTTGTGCATGAATCACAGAAGGTAGGTCTGCAGCTACAACAAGTAATTAGGAAGGCAAATGGAATTTTGTCCTTCATTGCTAAAGGGATTGAAATAAAAAGCAGAGAGGTTATGTTGCAGCTGTACAAGGTGCTGGTGAGGCCACACCTGGAGTACTGTGTGCAGTTTTGGTCTCCTGACTTGAGAAAGGATGTACTGGCACTGGAGGGGGTGCAAAGGAGGTTCACTAGGTTGATTCCGGAGTTGAGGGGGTTGGCTTATGAGGACAGACGGAGTAGATAGGGATTATATTCATTGGAATTCAGAAGATTGAGGGGGGGATCTTATAGAAACGTATAAAATTATGAAGGGAATAGATAAGATAGAAGTAGAGAGGATGTTTCCACTGGCAGGTGAAGCTAGGACAAGAGGGCATAGCCTCAAGATTAGAGGAAGCAGATTTAGGACTGAACTGAGAAGGAATTTCTTCACCCAGAGGGTTGTTAATCTATGGAATTCCTTGCCCAGTGAAGTAGTTGACGCTACTTCAGTAAATGTTTTTAAAAAAAAGGTAGATTTTTTTTGAACAATAAAGGAATTAAGGG